TGATTTTGGTCTCATTTTGACATCTCACATGTTTGACAGATATGGTCGCCAAACCATATCCTAATGAGGACACAGATGGATATGGATTTGGTCTACTAATTTCGCCGGCGGTTGGCGACAAAACTGCGACATCTCGCAACCAAATTGTTTGCTGGGTTGTTATTATTTATTAAGTAGTTTATTAATACTAAATATAATATTACATATCTAATATAAAAAATATATGCAAGGTTATTTTATATTCTGGAAATACATTTTTTATGCATGTTTATTTTGCCATGATACAGATCCTTCATTATTAAAATATGCAAAAACTTGTCCCGTATTTTTATACTTATCCGAGTATTGTTATATGATCCTACTTGTTGTATCTCACGATAGGCAGACATGTTTTCAAGAACTGTTCTCCAAGTACCAGGAATAAAGTTATTGTTATCAAAACGATCAACCATACTTGTAGTCACGTATTCATTGATGTTTATGTCTTTTTTTCGCAACCAATTGTGCAAACACACGATGACTTACGTAATTTTTTCTATAGTTTCTACTTTAGCAATTATTGGCTTTCTTAATATTCGCCACTAACAGGCAAGAATACCAAATGTATTTTTAATCATTCGCCTGGCACGACTTAGTCGATAGTTGAATATGTTTTTTCTTTCGTCAGTTCCTTTCCTATGTATGATCGAAGTAAATATTCTTTTAAAGGAAATGCTCCATCTCCAACGAGGCAATACGGCAATGCGGGACCATTTTCACAAATAATTTCTGCATTTAGTATGTTCATCTTTTTTGTTCAAATTTTTTACCAAACTGGTATTCTGCAAAAATGCCACCATCACTACGTCTACCATAGGCTCCGATATCTATAAATGTGAATAGGTAGTTAGCATCACACATTGCCATTAAAACAATACTGTGGTGATGTTTGTAGTTATAATATATGGAGCCAGCATTAGCAGGACACTGAAAAAATACATTATTATTATAATGATTGTTTCATTTACAAACCAAAAATATCAAACACATATATTGCTTTTTGAGATAAAATAATAATGTGCTCTGATTTGTTATGCCGAACGCAGTAAACAATAACGACAAATATATAATTGAATGATCGTACTATTAAAATATAATATGATAATACATACTTGAATAACAATATGTTTCCCATCGATGGCACCAATGCAATGAGGAAAGTTGCATTGATTTTCAACATATTCCAAATTACTTTGCATGTTTCGGATATAATGTTGCTTACTGTTGTACATCCTAATAAATATTGATGACATTGATATCATAGAGTCGCCAGAAGCCAAATACCTATATATATAATGTGATAAATAATAGATAAGTTCCAAACACTCTATACAACCATCTCGTATTGTTTAGTGTGTCGTTTTTATATTTTTGTGCTGAGAGTGAAAAAAATGTAATAAAGCAAACCTTAAAGTTAAACACAAACGTTCTTCAGCGCTGACAGGCTCTCTGATGAATGTCTGCTTCTGAATGTTTGGTGCAATAATTTGTAGCAAATCTTCTAGTTGTGTTGAAGACATGCGAAAATAATTCTTGAATTTTGCACTTTCTAATTTTACATATAGCAAATTAGCTTTATAAAATCCATACTTATCATGATTTTTAAACAACGGTGCAATCCAAAATTTCTTTTTAGAATAATATCTTTTTTGTGTTTGCCGACATGTCAACAGCATCATAATACCGGCAAAAACAATATTATTTTGAAATTCAATTTCATGTTCTTGGATTATTCGATTATACTTTAGTATCCAATTATATTTTTTTTTTTCCTGGAAGACATAATGATAAATCTGTTTCTCAACTTTATAGCTTGGTGCAACCACTTTTTAACTACTCGAACTTTGTCGCTTTTACTCTTTTTCATGTACAAAAGTTGCCGCTGAATAGTTCAGCGACAAAAATCATCACGTGATCCTTTTTGTCGCTCAAACCAGGGGTCGGCAAAACGCTGAAAACGGGCACGGGCGCCCGCGAACGCCCGCGATTGCCCGGCCTTTACGCACGCATATTATGATCAACATTATTCAGAACTCAGGAGCGCACTTATTCTTTTTGGCACCTTGAGATAAAACTGATAATACTACTACTAATATATAATATATACTAATAAACTAATAT